CATTGGGCTGAGTGCCCTCGAAGGTGACCTTGCCCTTGCCCTTTTGTCCCTTCGGATCGGGGCCGTGGGCCGGGGCCTTGCCCTTCTCCTTAGGGCTCCTCGGGGCAGTGGTAGCACCCTGCCTCGCTATACGTCGACGAGGGGGAAAATCAGGTCGGGGCTTGTTGCCCTTGGTGTAGCATTCTGCAACCCCATGTCCTACATGACTGCATAGGGAGCAGAACGGTGGGACTCTCTCGTAGACCACTTTCTGTATAGTGGTCTTGCCTGCTTGATCGAGCTCAATCTCTTTGATGAGCTCGTCCCTAAGATCGATCTCTACGCACACCTGTGCGACAGAAAGTCTCGATCTGTTAGCCGTAGCGGCATCAATCTCAATGGGGTTGCCAATGCAACTGGCAATCGAGAAGAGGGCAGAAGGGTCGAAAAGATGGGGAAGGAGGCCCGGTAAACAGCACCATACCGGGACAATGGGAGATTCCTCAACAAAAAAGAAATCAGGGGTGTATTTGAACACCCGACCCGAACACCCAAAGATATTGAGGTGCGTCTTAATCCAAACAGAGTTGTAGTCCTCTTTCAGCTCAAAAAAGAGTAAATAGTGATTATAATTAAGGAACTTCGGAATTACTCTACCCTTAAAACCTAACTTGTCTAGACCGACAGATAAATCCCGGAGGGAAGGAACAGTGAAGGAAAACTTCAAAATGAGAGCATTATCCAACGACTCAGCTAGGAAAATAACAGTGGGATCGGGAAAACTTACCTTGAACCTGCCCTCCTCGGAGCGAGTGATAGTCCCGCTCTGCTTGTCTCGGAAAGACTCCAACATGAAACTCTGATGTCTCGGTTTGCCGGTAGAGGTGCCGGAAACCGCATCCCGAAAGGATCGAGCTCCGGGGGGTTGGTGGCTTTGGTTCACCGTTTGGGGAAAGGGGGTGGCCGTGCTCGAGTCTTGGCCCGCGATGTTGCTTTTCGGTAGCTCGCTGAAATCCATAAAGTTGACAAACAGGGTATCTTCCGGTGGTGTTATGATAACTGAAGGTGGCCCACGGCCTAAAATTCCAAATGTCAACGGGGAGGTCGAGCCATTGCCATTAAAGATCGGGTTGAGGTGTCCGAGTCCGGTAGGAGCGGTGACGACAGTGGTCTGTCTGGGCCGGGCGAGCTCCGTCGGGATGTCAGCCGGCATGGGCTTTGCAGTGGCCTTACCGGGCTGGGCGAATGTCGGCACGGTGGCAGTCGGCGGTTCGGACATGGGACCCGCGATAGGGGTCATTAGGAGGTGCACTCCGCCCGGCTGAGGGAGTTGGGTGTCGGCGCCGGAGTCGTAGGAGGAGGCGTCAACTGGTTGCAAGAGGTCATGGGAGAAGGCTGTTGTGAGCAGATTTGACGGGGATGACCGTTGGTCATGCAGATGGGCTGGGAGGTGACGAGCGGGCTTGGGATGAGGGATAATGGGCTGAGGATGATGAATAAGGTCCAAAATAGGGAGGTGGGCCAAAGTCGGCCCACTGTGGGAGAATGGAAGGTCTGAATTGGGCCTGTGGACTAGCCCAATATGTTGGTCAGCTGAGGGATTATTTGTGGGATTATTTGTGGACAGGTAGATAAGGTTTGGTTGGAGGAAAGATAGATCTGACAGAGGGGCGGAGCTAGCAGGAGGGAGGGTGAAGCTCGCCGAGCAAGAAGGGATGTCTGTGACAGGGCTTGAAAGGGCGGCCGAGACTAAAGGTGTTCCGGCGGGTGGCGGGGTGCGACCACCGTGGACCGACGAGCCTTCTGGCCGAGGGAAAAAAAGCCTCTTGGTCGAATGGAGGGCAGATTTAAAAGTCTTGTTGAGCTTGTTTGACCATGATGTAAACCTACCATGGAGGTCACCGGAAAAAAGGTTCGTGGAAGCAGTCATGGTTGCTGTTGGATTTGCTGTGGGCGTCGGGGAAAAAGAAATCGGAGATGCATACATGGATGGGGGAGGAGGGAGAAAATGGACGGGGTGAAAGGCGGAGCGAGCCCCAAAGCAGGCGGCTCGCCGCCGGCGACGACGGGCGCCGGCAGAAACTATATATGAGGGATGGCCGGAAAGCTGAGGGGGGGCGGATTGAGGTAGAAAGATAGGGTTTTTAGAGAGAGATTGTTAGAGAGAAGTGGGAGCTCGTTTGTTTATGTTTTAGTTGTTGACTTTGTTGGAATTAACTTTAGGCGAAATACATCGCTTTAATCCAGAAGCTTTCATATTGAATAATTGAGAATCAAGACTGAATAGCGGAAGCGTGCCTAAATCCATGGATGATTGATTTGGGGATTTGGCCTTCTAGGTCTATACGAACTGTACTTTTCAGAGAACCCTTTATCTTTTCTCCGTAACCTCTCTGTCGATGGGATGCAGAAGAGATAATTTGTCGATGTCGTATGACCTAGGGACCACAACCCTTTTATGTACATTAAGTTACATTGGGCATCTCTATTTTAGCCCATCATTAAAATATAAGACCCATTAGTTTCTACACATTAAAGGCCCACACCGTATTGATACTTTAAAGCCCAATAACTTTAAACCTTAATTGATCACTTTTAGTTAGACTTCTTTATTTGACAACCACAATACAATAATTATTTCACATATTAGCCCAATGTTGGATTAAGGATCCAACAAAATACTCTTTACAGTACTATATAGGCGTAATTGTATTTTTAGTCTTGCTGGTTTAACGTCGTAATATCTTAATTCCAGGATTTCAATTTTTTGTCTTTTGATCATGTAATTTAGTATTTTGTTGCAATTTCAGTCCTTTAGATGAATTTTTTATTAGCAGCTTAAGTCCTGTAATTTTAAATTTGTTGCATTTTCATTTCCAAAGGACTGAAATTGCGCTAAAATTTAAAATCATATGACCAAATAGTAAAAAAATTAAATTTTTAGAACTAACAATGTCACTTGATCAAACCAACGGGACCAAAATTGTAATTTTGCCAAAATATATATTATTGTATATTTTAGAATGACATTTGTTACTTATGCAACTTACTGTATAATAATATTTTTCTATCTTATACCATATAACTAATTTTAACGTAAATAAATAAATTAATTAATAATTTTATTTTCTAATTACTATTAATGAGTAATTTACTATTATTATAAACATAAATATAATTTATTTAGTTTATACTTACAATATGAATGTCAAATCGAAACTCATCAAAAAATGATTAATTTGATATATTATATATGTAGAACCGATAAGAAATTCAAAAGCTATCAACATTTAAAATACATTCACAATTAAATTCTTATAAGAGTAATGCTATTAAATGCAATTAATATATTTTAAAAGATTATAAAAAATTCTCTCGTCGAAGAGCGTTCTACATTCTCTCGTCGGAGAGCGTTCCTGTGTCCTTCATCTTCTGTCACTCATTTCCCCCCTCTCCTTCTCAGACCTCTCTACCCCTCTTCCTGCCTTGTTTTAACTTTTTCTCTGCGGCTGCTACCCTTCATATATTGCTACTTAGGGTTTATCCCTATGGAGAGAAAGAACATTCTGTAACGCCACATTTTATTTTAATTGATCTTCTTGCATTGCTCGACATTAAATTGGAATCTCGATTGTACTTATTGCCTTAATTGAGTTAATTTCCTATTTGATGATTTAATTGCCCAAGTGAATTTTCTTATTTATGTGTTTATATGTGTATTTGTCTTGAATGTCAATTGGTGACTTAGTGATCATTTTATTTGCTTAAGTATCTCTCTTGCCCAAAAAGAAACAGATGAAAAAGTGAGTTTGATTTAAGATTGTAAAAATATGTAAAATAAAAATCTACTGATAAAAATTAATGTATTACAATTATTGTTTTAAACAGTTTGATGTGTAGCTTGCTATATAGTTTTTTTTTTAAAAAAAAAGCGATGTAGCTTTATACATTTATTATTTTTTTCGAAAAGCTTACGCGAAATGTTGCAGTGGCACGTTTTTCTTATGCTATTTTGCGCTATTTCACGCTATTGTGTGTTACATTACGCTATATTTCTGCAATGATAATTAAACAATAAAATATTCAAAAACTCGTATTTTTTAGGGATCAGAGTTATATTTACAAATGACAACTAAAAATTTAAAAAAATTGATAATGATTTCAAACTAAAAGTTTGAAAATGCAAGTCTTAAGTAGAATAGTGCAATATTTATAGGTCCATTTCTGTTATATCATTTTATTTTTCGATATTTGACATTTAAATAAAGAATAAAAAGTACATCTCTAATAGTTAGAATTAAGTTGTAGTTAGATAAAAAAATTAAATTAAAATACATATTCCTAAAATTAAACTATGACTTACCTCAGTATATTTTCGTTGTTTGTTTTTACTTTTCAGTATATTCGATTTATTATTTAAATATATACATTATGATATTTATATTAAATATTTGTGAGAAATAATTCTTAGACGTTATTTTTAAAGTCATTCAAATACTATGATAATTTTTGAATTAACCATCCAATTTTTACTATATGCAAATATATTTATAATATTTCTATAAAAATAATTTTATACCCAAATAACTCATGCAACACGTAACGTTATTTACGCTACACACTATAAAGGCCAAAACGCACGTGTTACAAAACACTGAATAAAATAACTGATATATTTCCGTAGACAATTGTTTTTTTAACCTAATAGACTATTGGGTTTGTATTGGAGTGTCCGATCCAATTTGACAAGCTGAGTTGGGCTTTGCTCCAATCACTAGTGTGGATTTGAGTTTGGGCCAATACCTGACCTTACCCACTGACCATCCCTCAATTACCCCTACTCAAGAGTTCTCTATCGCCGGCGGAAGCAAAACGTTAACCGCCCCTTCTCCGCCGACTGCCACCACTGTTTCTCAAAATTGTTTACGAGGATTTTTATGCTTAACCAGACATTGTTTTCTTTTGTTTTTACAGGCACTGTTTGAATGAACTAAGACCTGTATAAGGCGGCGCTCCAAGTGATGAAGATGTATGTGTATCCATAGTTTCTTGCGCTTTTACAGAGGATCCTCCCTCATAAACTCATGTTTTGCTTCTACTCACAGCGTAATTTGAGATTCTAGCTTTCACTGTAAATAATTGTTTCCACTTATTGCAGACTTGAAGCTCGTAATGGCGCGCTTACTAATTTTGAGGTGCTTCATCTCTTGAGATCAAGAGGGGCTGGAACAGATCTGTCTCGTGTCATTGCATCTGTTTCGCCTTCTGAATACAAGGTTTGCCTTGCCCGCCATGAATTCTTTAGCTCTGTTTGCGGTTTTTAGAATAGGTTGATTCAAGATTTTTCAATCCCCATTTTTCGTCTTAGGTTTTCGATTATTTGGAGCAGACAGCCGCATGCAACCAAACGATTGATGTCATTAATAGATGTTATGATGAGTTGAGAAAGTGTGAGCTTGCCAAGGCTGAGGTTCTTAATATTATCAACATGAGGCCAGCATCTGTAGTTGAGGTTTACCCGGTAAATCTCTCTTCTATTATATATTCATGCTATAGTTATTGTTTATATGTCGATTCATCAATGTGTTTCCCTATCTATAAATTTCTAGATTCGTTAAATTAGTACACGAATACCATTTTTTTTTTTCCTTGAAATTGGGGAACTTCATTGACATCGAAATGCCCTATTTTGAGACATTTGGCCTTCATAAATGGTTGCTAGATCAAACCCCTCTTTGCCGTCCAGATAAATTACTTTGCCCTTCTAAGCCCGCAACGATTTACATTGGCAAGCTTACTTGGTTTTAGTTTCATGTATTCGGAAAGAAAAAAAAAATGAAATAAAGGAACATTTTGTTAATTAAAATTGTAACTTTTAGTTGTGTTCCATGGTGCAGTGACACTGCTTGCATGCAAATGGAACCTAGAGAAGTAAAGCAACATTTTTTTACTTAGAATTGTTATTTTAGTTATGTTCCATGGTGCAGTAAAATTGCTTGCATAGAAATGGAACCTAATGGCTACAAGTAGATGTAAAGAGAAGTGTGTGGTGACTAAAATATCATAATAATAAACTTAACAAGGCAAGTATCTGGATAAGTTAAAAGATCCAAATCCAATGGCTTATGAGTAAACAACCCAAGTATTGGCTTTTACAATAATATAAAAGAGTTATATTACATCATCAACATCATCAACATCAACATACCCAGCATATTCCCAAACAGGTTGGGGTCTGGGGGGTCAGTCGTATGCAGACCTTACCCTTGTAATTATACAAGGAGGCTGTTATATTACATATGAAATATATAATAAGAACCGGATACCTAAGCTGGTGGTAAGCGGATTACACCATGCTTTAGCAGATTAACAATGAACTTCAGTCATTATTTTGAAAATTACACATAAAATTCTCGTGTGTTGCAGGCATTTACGAATTAGTTGAATAAAGTAACAACTTGTGGTCTTTCATGTATTCATTTTGTTAATCTCTGTAGAACGTGAGATTATTTTGTTTTTATGAGGGTTACACTTACAACCACTGTGATGGTTAATACTAAGATCATTTCCTCGGTCATCCTCTGGTCTGTCGATATAATAAAATAAGTTTCAGATTTTCTGCAGCACTCTTATTTTTCATTGATAAGTAAGCAAGACCCATTTCAGATTATTCCCATGGCTACTGACTTGCCTTCGACTTTCTTAGGAATCAATCACCTGTTAAATATGATTGCATTTATATTCAGAATATAAACAAAATATTATTTATGCTCACTTCAGATTATAGAAGATTGTGAGTCGCGGATGGAAGACAAAATAGATGAGCTTGTGGAGACCATCACGCGGATTTTGCCGCCTCATCCTTCACAAAAAGAAGAGCCTGGTCAGGAAAGTGTGGAGAACAATGGAGAAACTGAAAATTGAGAAACTGTTAATCGTGTCTTCTTTCGGTTTTAGTTCTAGTGAAAAAACTGTGGTGGATAAAGGCTATGTTGTTGTTGTTGGATAAAGCGATTGGAGATTGGTTAGAGTTTTCTGATTTCTGTTGATATTTGGTCTGGCTTGCATCAGTTAGGATGAGCTTATTCTAGAAACCCAGTTTGCGCTTTCAGTGGGGTTGTTTGCTGTTTGTTGAGCTTTGATAGTTTGGGGTCTCGTCTTGTCTGCTGTTTGTTGAGCTTTGATAGTTTGGGGTTGTTTCTTGTTTTGCCGGCAGGTGTTGGCTTCAGCTGCAGTGAGGCTGCAGTTCTTTTTCAGTTACTTTGTTTTGGGAGGCTATTGTTTCGTTTGCTTTTAGTTCTAGATTCTCTGGTTTTGTATTTTTCTTTTGTTTTGCATCGGTTATTTGTTGGTAGTTTGGTTTGAGGCTGGTTTTTTTGTTTGCTTTTGTTATTCTCCTTGATGAACATATACAGATAATCATGAATTTCTTCGGAATTGAAGTTTTTTCATCTGTAGCTTTACATATATGTAGGTTTCTTTTTTGGTTCTTCTGTGGATATAATACATAGAATAAACTGTAAAAAGGTAAAAGAGGATGTTTAAAACTGTAATTCATTTTACAATGTCTCAATTCAAATGTTGGTTTAGATCATTTTATTCACGCGTTTAACCTATATAACAGCACTTGCAAACTTAACTCGTGAATAGGCTCGTCAAGAGAGTTGAACATCGGTCGTTAACAGCATTCATTGGTGTATTACAATCGCCCATCTTTTCGGCACAGATTTCCGCCTCGGTAGTTAATTTCACCCGAAGTATGTACTCAAATCTTAACTGATCTAGCATTGATAAGAAACTGAAGAAAAGGACACAAATTGTCTATACAAGCAAGTTTCACATCAATATGTGAGAATAATAACAAAACCTTCATATCAATCTCACCATATAGAACACAAAGATATCTGCTTCCCCACTAGAGCCAAATAATTTCAAGGTTCAAATTCTACACAGGTTTCACATACTAAAACAGTGTCCATAAGTAACCACATTGACAGCTACAAATTACGATACCACCAAGAGACGAACTCACACAAGAGCGCCGCCTTTCACAAACTCTGTAAAAGCAAGAGCCACCAAACCCAGCATAGCAAACCTCCCGTTCCACAGCTCAGCGTCTGAAGTCATCAAATTCCCAGATTTCGACTCGGCCGACACGCCTCTGAACATCGGGATTAAGGACGCGAGTGACAGCAGCACACTCGTGCCCAAGAACCAGGGGAACCCACCGTTCTGTACCTGCGAGAAGATATCCTGCCCGTTAGCCAGCTCCACTCCCATGGCTGCCACAAACCCGATCATGGCTAACCGCCCGTTGATCCTCTCAGGGCCCGGCCCGCTGAATGCCAGCACATCCGAGAAGCCGGTGCTCACCTGTGCTTCAAAAAGTGAAATTATTAGAAATGAGCACAAATCCTGCAGGCCCAAGACGAGATCGGAGTTCGAAGAAACTCGATTACGGCGATCTGTAAAGAATTTCACATCATAAGAATATTCAGTAATTGTTCTTGGAGATCAGGAAAATAACCTTGGGCTTAGGGGGAGAAGTAGGCTTGGGTGAAGCCTCTGCTTGTGCTACCTCTTTCACCTTATCGTCCTCAGCAACACTTCTAACTACGAATTTCAAATTCCTTTTGCAAGGCGACACGCAAATCTGGCTTGTATCATCAGCCCTTCTAGCAACTGGGCTCACCGATGAAATTGTCGGCATCCCGAAGCAAGTTGCAGCCATTGTTAAGAGTTTCTTCAAGCTAGCTACAGACTGAAGGATTGTAGCAATGAGTTTCTATTCGAACTTCTAAGGTTGAGGAAGCAAAATAACAAGTGTGCTTTAGCAGATTATTGTACCGTTTGAATGTAGCGGATGTACCAAAGTGGCTGCATTATAAAGTGAAATACTGCATGGGGGCTTTATGGGGAGGACAAACGATTGCGGATATTTTAGCGTCCACGTAGTTCGCTTATTGCCCGTTGGAAGGAATTTTGTTGACGTGGGTCTCAGAATTGGTCACACATGATTTTAGAAAGTGAATCGCAATTTATCACCCTCTTTTACTAGTCACCGTCCTTTAATTACGTTTTTGTCCTTCACACTATCTCTCTAATTTCTGTCTCTACTCTTTCCCTCTCGACTTTTTACGGCTCTTTTGACCGTCAAAAAAATATCGAAAAAATTCGAAAAAATACCATGACATCGGCAAGATATTGAAAATTGATTTATTTTTTTTATATTTTTTTACTTTGTAAATAATTTTTAATTTTTTAATTTCTTTTTTTTTTTTTTTGCGTCCGGACGGA